AAGCACAGGGACACTGTTACCTCCCACAGTGGTGTCAGGAAACACAAGGACACTGTTACAGTCCCACAGTGGTGTCAGGAAGCACAGGGACACTGCTACAGTCCCACGGTGCTGTCAGAAAACACAGGGACACTGTTACAGTCCCATAGGGCTGTCAGGAAGCACAGGGACACTGTTACATCCCACAGTGGTGTCAGGAAGCACAGGGACACTGTTACAGTCCCACAGTGCTGTCAGGAAGCACAGGGACACTGTTACAGTCCCATAGGGCTGTCAGGAAGCACAGGGACACTGTTACATCCCACAGTGGTGTCAGGAAACACAGGGACACTGTTACAGTCCCACAGTGGTGTCAGGAAACACAGGGACACTGTTACAGTCCCACAGTGCTGTCAGGAAACACAGGGACATTGCTACAGTCCCACAGTGCTATCAGGAAGCACAGGGACACTGTTACATCCCACAGTGCTGTCAGGAAGCAGCAGGACGTATCATGGTCCCACAGTGTTGTCAGCACATGGTGGGATCTCACAGAGGGGATCCAAGGTGGCTCTGAGCAGCCAAGGTGCGAGAGGTATGCCAAAGGGTTGGACACAGCCAAGACAAAGTTTTTCAAGTCTTTCCCTCCATTCTCCTTTCTGAAACCCAGCCTTACTCAGGAGAGCATGGATTTACATTCTACATCTCTGCTGCCCTGCAAGGAACACCCATTACCCGGTTCCACAAAGCCCCTTTACCTGGTTCCTATGCCTTGGCCATTGGTCCCAACAAGGGCAAAGAGGGATCGAAAGCCTTCTGGAGTGAACCACTGCAGGAGGGAGAGGAGAAAGGAACTGAGTCCAGGCCAGCCTGCAGCATCCCCCCACTCTGCAGTGCCTCAAATCCCACAGGGAGCTTTGGGGGAAGCAAGGAATGAATGGGCAGATTCCCATGGGCTGTTTGGGAGGCAGATCCACTCACCCTGCTGAGATACTCGTCATAAAGGGCTTCGGTGAAGAGCAACCGCAGCAGCTCCAGCTGGCCCTGGCAGGACAAGGAGCACAGTCAGGGTGAGGAGATGTCACTGTCACTGGGTGCCAGCCCCAGGCTGAGGGCCTGGCCCAGGACAGGCCACAAGGCTCAGGAAGGAGTCAGGCTCCTCACCTTCCCTGCAGGGCTGGAGGCTGCTGCCCTCACAGCAGCAAAAGCCACTGATTTTAGCAGCAAAAGCCACCTACTCAGCAGCTAAATATCACCCTGGCCCAGCCCACAGCAAAGCATCTCCCCCACAGGAAGGAGCAGCACATCCCATGGAAGCACCACGAGCCCAAAGCCCTCTGAGCAACTCATTTCCTGGCTGTCAGGGCCCCCACTTTAAGCCTGGAATTTCCAGTGCCTCCCATCCCAGGGCTTCTGCATCTCTGGGCTCACAGACACAGGTGGGAGAGGGCAGGCTTGGGAATTCAAGAGCTGCCGGGGTCTTACCTTAAATTTGTCCCCCAGCAGCTTGTGCACAATCTCCTCTTCTTCATTTGCTGTCTTGCTGCAGAACTGGGAGAAGGCCTTGATCCACCACTCCTTGTCTTTAGCCTGACAAAGGAATCAAGCAGAGGCATTGCACCAGCCTTGCTTTCCTCCCCAGCCCAGAGAGAGGGAATATTGTCAGAAAAAACACTGAGAAAGCCAGGCCAAAGAACCAGAGCCTTGGGAAAACATCCACAATGGGATAACGAAACCACACACGGGCAGCTGCAGCTACAAACTGCTGACGTACCTGCTTGATGGTGGCAACCATCCTGGCCATCAACATAATGCTGGAAGTCTCTGGGGGATAATGCATGTTCCTGCAGGATAAGAATGAAGAAGAGATGAGCAGAGCAGGGCTGGTATGGAAATAAAAAGCTGGAGGGAGGCAGAGGCAGCTGCCCTTCGTGTGGTCAGGTCTGCACTAATCCATCGCACCAAAGTGGCCATTGCAGCAACACCGTGTGGGGATCCAGCAGAGAAACCTGCATCCACCTTCCTGCTCCAACCATACAAACAATCCCCTCCCATCCTGCTCACCCTGTGTCCCACACAAGGCCCAGCTGGGGTTTGAGACAAGATTTGGGTCAGGGATGTCACTTCTCCCCTCTGGGACTGTTTTTGTTTTTTTTGCAAGCAGGGACAGCAATTTATCAACCCGTGAGGAGGATTCCCAGAGGCTGCAGGAGCACCATAAAATTGCAGGAATGAGCTTTGTAGCTCTTTACAGGGAGAAAAACAAGGACTACTCAGCTGTGTGCACTGCCCACACCAACTCACCCAACCAGCAGGGAGAGCCAGGCAGCGTTTCAGGGGCATTCCCACCCTCCAGCCACCCCATGCAGGGATGCAAAGTAAGGAGAACCACCTCCTTTGCCCGTGGAGCAACAGGCAGGTCGGTGCCCTACCTCCACGCCTCCTGCAGCTTGTTGAGGGGGTGTGTGGGGTCATCTCGGGACGGGCCGAGGCAGAGGACCTGGTGGTACTGCTCCAGAGCTGCCTGCCTGCACTCCGCGCTGCAGTACGTCACCTAGAGCGGGGGGACAGCGCCCGGCATTGGCTCCGGCAGCAGGAAAACGGGATCCTACATCCAGCTGTGCCAGCTGTGCCCCCTCCCTGACCAGCCGGAGCGTGGAAAGGCAGACACCCATCTTGGGCAGCGCAGGTGCCTGGCTCGGGAATCCCAGAAAGATGGCATTCCCTCCCGGCAGTGCCGTACCTGGCATCGGGGGCACTGCTGGTGCAGGTCTTTCCGGGTGCTGCACTGCTCTGGGTGAGGCAGCACCAGAGAGCTCTTCCCCAGCAGGCGCTGGGCGTTCTCCTCCGCCGTCTCCAGAGCCCGCAGGCAGTGATCACAGGCTGCAGGGGAGAAGGATGGATGGATGGATGGATGGATGGATGGATGGATGGATGGATGGATGGATGGCACAGGAAAGCCTTCGGGACGGAAACGGACCAGAGCCCCAACATGGTGCAACTGGTACCACCACCAGAGATGAACAAGGGGATGGAGCTTGGAGCAAACTGGGCTACTGGAAAGTGTCCCTGCCCACGGTAGGGTGGTGGAATGAGTGGATCCTTAAGGTCCCCTCCAACCCAAACCACTCTGGGATTCCTCAGTGGCCCCTGGCGCATCCCCCCGGAGCTGATGGAAGTCACCATCCCTCAAATGACACCTCAACTTGCCAACGCTTTAGCGCAGAGGCAGAAACGGCAGCAGGGGCACCTTTACAGCTTTGCAAAGGCAAACCCAAACCTTTCCCTTGACACCGGGCAGCTCCTTTGGGACCCCGCGGTCACTGGGGCAGGTGACAGGGACACGGCACCAGTACCAGCCGCTCACCTCGGTAGTTGTACAGGGCATTCCAGAGGAACTGGGAAGACACCACCGGCCTCTCCACGAAGACTGTTTCCCCTTTGCGGATGTTCTTGGTGGCGAACAAGCCCTTTCCCTGCCGAGGGACAGCCGTGGGTCAAGGGACGCGCCCGGAGCCGAGTCATACCCGGGGGCTGAGGGTACCCCGGCATCCCGAGGGGACCCTGTGGGCTTCTACCCCCTTTCCCCTCTAAAATTGGGAAGGAAGGGAGGGATCCCCACGGAGCGGAGACTCACCTTGGCGCTGCTGATGAACCGCGCCTCCGCCGCAGCCCCGGCGTGTCCCCCCGCCGCGGCCGCCATCTTCGGGCGGCGACTTCCCCGCCCTGACCCGCCGGGCAGCGCCTCTTCCTCTTCCTCCTCTTCTTCCTCCTCCTCCTCTTCCTCCTCCTTCTCCTCCTCCGCCCCTCAGGGGTCCGCACCCGCCATCGCCCCCCTCAGCCCCGGGGCGGGCGGGGGCCGGCGGCCATCTTAGCCCCCCCCCCTTCCCTCAGCCCACGGCCACACTCCAAAAACACCGCCAAAACACTCCGAAACGGCGCCGGGGCGCTTGCACAGCCACCCCAAATCGTAAAAGAGTTTTGCTGCCTCCCCCTTATTAATTGTTATTATTTGGTGGTAGAGGAATAGCCGTCGCAGCTCTCTCAGGTGGGACCGC